GTGGGTGGGGCAGGCAGGAGCAGTTTCACAGAATTTTATACTTGGGTGAGATCTTGAAAATAATTTAATACAAGTCCCCACTTTACACATGAGAAAACTGAGGCCAGAAAGAAGTGACTTACCTGTACTCTTATAGCCTTAAAAAGAAGAGCCAGGATTAAAACATCCGATTCCCAGGTCCTATCTGTTCCACCATTTGGTTTGACTGGCAAAAATATGTCTTTATTCCAACAACTAATCATTTTGCCTTTCTAACATATTTTACATCTTAGATATTTGAAATTTGGTTTAATTTCAGATTGATAAGAATTATGATTTTTATTTATGTCTCTGACATTTCAGAAAGAAATCTGACTCAAATAATTTTGTACACATTTATTTTAACCTACATGAATTTATTTTTTAAGTAGTTCAGAATCCAGAATACCTTCCCCACTAGCTCACTCAATACCGTTTTTTTGTGGGTTTTTTTTTTTTTTTGACCCAAACTAATATTTGGAAGTTGTTAGAATACCATAAGTTTTATTTCTGTTTGTTCATGTACAAAAAAAAAGACATGAGAATGACCAAAAGCCTTTGGGAAAAAAGTTTGCACAGCCTGTTATGCTGTAGCTTTTCCCCTCCTCCTAGCTTTTAAATTTTTCTCTGAATCATGCCTTGTGTTGAGTGAAAGATCATTTGTCTTCTTATTAAATTCATGGATGTGTTTCTGACAGGTTAGGATTCGTCTATTGAATAAACTGTGTTTTTCTCAGGCTGTTTTTATAGTGTACTGTTTTCTCCTTGCAGCATGCCTCTTCAGATGTTGAAAGAATGATCTTGGGTAACAAATGTGATATGAATGACAAAAGACAAGTGTCAAAAGAAAGAGGGGAGAAGGTAAATTTGAACTGAATGCATAAAGATTGGAATCTACTCATTAAGCAGTTATTTTTCTTAGTGTAATTATTGATTTAAGTTTTTTAAGTGTCTATATTTTAATCCTTTAACAAACAACAAAGAGATGTAATCCATACTTGAATGGTATGAATTAGCATTCGAGAGCCAACTCTATAGACTGTGTAGTCATGACTGACTCATTCCTAAAGAATTTGCTGTTTTCTGGGAGATACAAACTGGTTCTTTTTCAGATTTCTGCAGCTTAGAGTTCAGGCTGTTTCTTCCATATCTGTGTGAAAATGTCTAGTTTTTAAGTTAATTTATTGTCTTTGAAAAAAACTAATAGGATAGGTGAAGTTCAACAGTAATCATTTTGCAATTTATTATTTTTTCCTAAGAATATTGTACTACGCATTAGATTTAGGTCATTATGGATAAACTCCTTATAACTCATCAAGCTATGGATGTCATTTATAGGTCTTTTACAAGCATTTCTCTATTTTGTATCCTGCAAAGCAAAGGAGTTTATTATATCTACATATTTACTTTTATGACATTTCCTAAATAGATTTTAGAGGCTTTAATTTTTACGTCTTGGAATTTTGGTTTAGTCTTTTTTATTTTTTAAGTGATACATGCAAAATGCATTTTGGTTTTCAATCTGACTGCAGACTTTTTCCCCTAAAAACATTCTCTTAATCTTGGTATTATAAATGAACTAAGAACTCTTTGAGAGTAGATAGAAATATGGAGAAGTTCACATTTGTCACAATCAATAGAAACCAAAGCAATGAATACTTAGTATTTTAGGCTTCTATTAAGCACCAATTTATTAAAAAATAATGAAAAATCAGTATAGTAACATTTGGAGAATTATACTTTCAGAGCAGATAAAAGGAATGGATCCAAGTTAATGGTAGGGATGAGTGTCTATCATAGTTTTTGTTTGTTTGTTTGTTTTTAAGTGTATTAGAGATCTAAATGTATGATAGAAAAAAGAGAAGTACTTAAATTGCATTTTGAGTATAAGTAGTACCATGTTACTTATGGTGATTAATTTAGACATCTAAATTGCAAACACAATAGAAGGAAGCACACAGAGATTTGAGAACTTCAGGAATTCTGAAGTAGATACTCTACCTTTGGGACTTTGAAAAACCTAGAAAATATAAATGCTTTATATGTTCAAACAGCTCTCTCTGAATTTAAATGTTTCTTTTTGCCTTTCAGTTAGCAATTGACTATGGAATTAAATTCTTGGAGACAAGTGCAAAATCCAGTACAAATGTAGAAGAGGTAAGAAAGAAATGTTTGGTATTTTGTTATATAGTAGCACTAGTGCTTAAGTGCCTATGCTCAAATTTTCAAGCCTTTTTTTCTGACTTAGTGAATGTCTTTGGTGAACTTCACCTCCATTTTGTGAACTTCTGTGCTTCTGATTTTTATGTGGACCCTGATTGTTGAATTTCCACATGGGATATATTAGATTGCTCAGTTACGATTCACTGAACAGAAGATGAAGTTTAGTTTAAGTTCAATTTTGCCCTTTGTTTGGGAAGCTAGAAATCCTGTGCTGGCCGACCAAGCGGTATCCTCTGCTCATTTATCATCATTCATGTCATTCTGTAGTAGCCTGTAGCAGGAGAGTTGTAATTACTTTGATGTCTGTACTCTCTCAGGAGAGAATTAAACTGTAAGCTTATTGAACAGATTCCCTTAGTGTACACCTTTGAAGTAGATTAAGCATGATACATTGTAACACAGTGGCATTTAGTAATAAGAAAGTATGTTTATCAAAGAGTGATTTAATAATTTTCAGGAAGTTAACTGTTAAAGAAAACCAAATCATCCAAAGTCTTCTAAGAATAGATTTTTTTTTTTTACCAAGGGTGGAATTATTGATAATATTTTCTTTTTTAAAACCATTTAAAAAACTGATCATAAAAATAATACATGTGTTATTATATAAAAATAATATATGTGTTAATACATATAATTCATTTAACAATAATACTGATGGTTTTATAAACATATAATTTCTTAGACTACTCACTGTTCACCATATCATGGCTAAAAACTGAGACTTAAAATGACTTTATTGGCTAATGGACACTAAGCAGAATTTTTTCTTTATTTAAATAACTAAAACTCATTTTTTTTCAGGTTGGCTAATGGGCATTAGGAAATAGGAAGCCTCTACTGATATATTTATACAAACATAGATAAGCAGAAAAATGCTTCCTTTTGCTTGCCACAAAAGGATTTTCTTCCATCAGGAAGAGGGGAGCCTCTTGTCAGCCTTAATGGTGGAGACAGGCGAAAAGCTTGCTCACTCACATGGTCCACATAGGATGGCGCCCACAGAAAGGACTCAGTAACCTTACTTAACAGAGTAGACTTAGGTCTCTGTTAGTACCTGCACCCTGATCACACCTGTGGCCTAGAGAGAGCATGGAGTTATAGAAATATAGAACTAGAAGTTGCCCGAGCTGCTTATTCTGGTCAATTAAGCACTTTCCCCAGAGCTTTGACTTAGCGTGGTTAGCCTCATAAAGACTGAGATGGGCTTATTTAGAAACTTAGATTCACAGGTAACCAGTGTGACAGTGAGACACCAACAGCGCGTGATAATAGTAGTTACCGTATTGTTTCTGTTTGACTTGATTGAGAATAATCCTTTTGCTGAATGTTTTTTGGGCATCAGGCATGGTTAGGAACAAAGAGACTGACACCACAGTCTCTTTGGGTTTAGCATGGAGACAACTGAAGAAGCTTTAAGAGTCTTGGCTCTATGGAAACAAAGTAAGGATGATAGATTTTTAAAAATATTTAGTTTGAGTCAGGAGGCACAAGGAATAAAATGTCACTGAGATTAATCAGATTTGTCCTGCTTGCATTTGATCTGATTTCCACAGTGGGGAATTTAGCTGCGCTATAGGAACTGTCAGGATTTGGGAATGTTAAGATATGGAAGATTATATATTCTCAGGTATAAGAGTGAAAGCAATTTGAAAGAGAGGGCATTGGGAATAAAAAGCAGAGATTTTTATAAAAACAGGTTTTAGACCTATAGGGCAGTACATATTTATTCATTCACTTATTAAACATACTCAGCATCTTCTGGATCAGGCAGTGTGTCCCACTTTGGGGACACAGGGATGGCTTAAACACAGCCTTTGCCCCCCAGGTGCTCTTGGTATACTGAGGAAGCTACCCATAAATCAACAAGTGTCATATTAGGGACTCGAGCCAGATATTATATGCAAAAAATATTTGATGAATGAATGAATGAGCTTGATAATATTGGAAAATGTTTGATATAATCAAAAAGTAAGATACGATATTCCTGTGTATACTATAATTACAATTCTGTCCTCTCAATTAAAAACTTTAATATGCTTATATTTCATAATGAAATAATGAAAACATTCTATATTTCAATTTTAAAATATAAATATGTAATAATAAAATTTTTGGTTTACCTTTAGGCATTTTTTACTCTTGCACGAGATATAATGACAAAACTCAACAGAAAAATGGTTTGTATCACTTACAATTTTTATCTTCACTATTCTGTTTTAAAATTTATTTCTGTTGTTTATTTGATTGAAAGGATAGGCCTGATTATAAAATATTCACATTAACTCATTTTTTCCTGACTCACATATTTACCTGGTTGAACTTTAATTCTTATCTCTGTTTCTTCAGGTTTCTTATTTCTGAACTATAGCCATTTCAGTTCTTTTATCTGACTCTTTAAGTGGACTTTGAATTTTGATCTGAATAATTAAAATAATAATGGCACAAGTTAAATTTTTGCCATAAAATTATCTAGTTCAGTTTTCGTGTGACATATTCATATCTGCATATAATTATGCTCTTGAAATTGCTAAAGTTTATCTTAGTGATAAATTATTAAGACAACCTTGAAAGTTTATTGTAACCTGAATTCTGAGTATAATTGTATACCTTGTATTACCAACTCTTCTTACCTCTAACAGCGTGATTGACTATACCAATATCTTTACATTATTTCCATTACCCTTGAAACTTTATACAACCTTGGCTGTAATTTCTTTGAATTGGAAACAGGAGCTTCCTAACTAATATATATTATTAATATAAAAGTTATTATCCTTAAAACATTTTTCTCATTTTAATCCACTATTTCCAAAGAAACCAATAACATTGGAACTTAACTAGTTTCCTTTCTAATAAAATACTCCACTGAATATACATTTATGGTATGGTTTGATATTTTTGTTTTTTTAGACATTTTTTAGACAAACCACGAAACTTTTATTTCTTTGGTAACTTTATCTTCTGTTTTTTAGAATGACAGCAATTCATCAGGGGCAGGTGGACCAGTGAAAATAACAGAAAACCGATCAAAGAAGACCAGTTTCTTTCGTTGTTCGCTACTTTGATGAACTTTTTCTGAGAGACTGCAGCACATCTAGAGGACCCTTTCCTGCTTCTCTGAAAGCACAGGTCACCCAGCCTCAGAATCACACCACCAGGCTGCTGCTGAGAGCACCACTGAACCTAGACCTCTCGACACAGAATGCCAAGTGGATTCCAGCCTCATGGCCTGTCAAGATAACAGGCTTCTTTTTCAAACATGGAAGCAATGAAATGGAGACACATGCAAGACTTGTTTTTTCTTTGTTTTATTGCCTGTTGCAGAAGCTGCTATCTTTCTTTTTCACTTTGCACATCAGTGTTAGCCTTTTCCTGTTATAGCACAATCTTAGACTCATATTTGCACACTTTTGTCTCGTGAAGTTCTAGACAAATTTGTGCTTTTGAGGATGTTTAAAAAAAGAGTAAAACACTTTAGAGCAGAGGTTAATATACTAAAATTAAAAGACATTTGGTCTGGTTCATATACCCAGATGTTATTGCATTGATAGCACTTATTTAAGGGCTCTGATTTGTGACTTTCTTAAATAAGAATCATTCAATTCTGATAAAATTTATCTTAAAAATTTATGAAAATGTCCATCTATTCATCAGAGGCTACAATTTCTTTATTTCTTCAAATTGGTTAGAGCTTTGCTTCATTCCTGACCTTTTTGCCAGAGAGCCTGGGTAGGTGAATAAATCACATCTCAATTGATTCCCTCTGCCTAATCTGTGGAAACTGCATTTGAAGTCACCTTAATGTCACTTTTCCTAGGGTTCGTATTTGCTGTTTTCTCCTCTGTTTGGCCTATTGTAATCATTTAGTTACCTAAAACATAACATATTTCAACGTTGTTGTCTGTTTCTGGTTGTGAACTTCCTGAGCTAAAATTTTACATAGGCAGAGAGATGTATCATTTAGGGTTTTATTTCAGCATCTAATTGTGGTTCTGTCATATTAGCATATGTAATACAATTTTTCTTAAATTCATTCCTTAGCTTTTTGGTTTAGTTGTAATACTTGTCAATTCTTACATAATCCCATCTTCAAGAGTTAACAAGAGTTAGATTTAGATTTCCATTCACAGGAAGCTTACCTATAGGGAGAGAATAACTTGTTAATATAAATTGAGTAGAGATGGCTCTTGATAATGGTGAAAATAAAGAGTTTTGCTCTTTTATTTGGCCTTTTTTTAAAAAAATAAAAGTAATTAGACCTACTGCAGCCTCTAGGAAAAGTCTTGCCTTTTAGTAGAGAAAATATGAGCAAGGTTTCAGTTTTAAAACAGCTATTGTTGAATGTGTAGAACCCATTTCCACTTGTTCCAAGTTTATTGTCAGAGAACTTGGTCTAGTCATTTGGGCCAAAACCAATCAATAGTTTAGCTGCCTTTCTCACCAAACACTGGTACTGGCATACCTTTTGTAAATTAAACCATAGAAAAAAAGGTATTTAGTGTTAACTTCTGTGCCAAATTCAGATCATTATGTCATTACTGTTATTCTGGCCTTCGGTGTCATAACATAGAAGGAATTAATAAAGAGGTGATTATTAATTACGAGGAAAATGAGTTCTGTTAATAATTATTCTTCCTGTTAGGTTTGTTTTGTTTCACAAAGGTTACCATCAGTTAGGGATGGAGATGAAAGTAGAAATGGATTGCTTGTTACCACAGAGAATTCTGCTTCAAATTAAGACGTATCATTAGAATGCTTGGACCAGTCAACCTTTACTACTTATTTGAAAACTTATGCACAGTTTAGCTGCAGGAAATATCTCAGAGCTATTTTTGATGGATGCACTAAATTTATTGTTAACAAATTTCAGCCTCCTTGATTTTTTTTTTTGTACTTAAAGGTACAAAGGTTGATGTCCCAGTATAATCAAGTGGTTCAAGTGATTGAAAGTTGAGTGTAGGTCTACCATCTTAAAATTATATACATTTTTGGAAAGAAAAAATAATTTCTTAGAAACATCTTGAATTCACTAATTTTCTGAAAAATCCAAGTAGTTAAGCTTTCTGGATGGTAACAAAGTCATTTCTAAAAGGCAAGTGCTATGACACCATGTATGAATGTAATTCTCTTAGTAATTTACCTCTGACTATTTGGTGTCTTAACACTTTGGTTTATATCTCAGGGGTTGTCTGCAAACCAAAACTGACATGTTCTATGGTTAGCCTTTTTTTTTTTTTTAAATAGAATGCTTTGCTTTCTTTTTATTCTTTCTCTCTTTTTTTGTCTTATATGGATTAGTAACTAGTCTCCATGAACTTCCCTTTGAAAGAGCCTATAAAAGTTAGATGAGTCTAAAATTGCTCTTTGAAGTAGCAGCAAGTTGGGGGTATGTACTCTGTTATATAGAAATAAATTGTCCTTGCTATTTTCTTACATTTAGTCTTGCTAAATTGTATATAATTTGAGCTAAGACCATAGGAAATTCACTTTCTGCATGGTAAAATGACCCAATAAATATTCCACCTTGCTTAATAATGTACATATAGTGCATTATTTTTTCTATTTGTAGATGAGTTTAGTGACAGATAATTGTCTGTTCCCTGCTGAAACTGAAGAAATCTAGTTTTATGTGAACATTTTTGTCTTCTTACAGATAAGGTACATGAAGATTTTTGCAGCAGTATTAGTGGTTCAGTGGCTGCATTTTATTATCAGTGTGCTAATTTTTGCCAATAATTGGACTAGACCTTTTCAAATAGTGTCTAAGGATATCAGACAATGAAAATGTGCTGTAATTAAGTAGCATGTGAATCAGTTAATTGTAAAATGTTTCACTGGGAACTTATTTTCGCTATATTTTACTTCAGACAAATTATGAGAAAATAACCCACCTGTGCATCAATTAAGAGGTGCTGCAGGGTTTCTTACTATTTACATAAACATTTTGTGCAGTCTTTGTTATAAATTTTCAGAAAACTATACTCTTTACTTTGAAGGACTATTTTTTAATTATACCTCATTTAGCTAACTAGTATTCTAATACCCGGTAGAGAAATAGCGAGCCAGCCTTTAAGAATCCAACACAATTTAGATTATATGTTTTGTTTTTAACTAAAGGGATCATTGGGAAAGGTAGGATGTAGTTTAGTTTAGAATAGAACGTACATGTCATATCCAATAGTGCAAAAAGAAGTATTATCTCCCTGTCTCCATTAATAAATTTAGCTGTGCAATATAGATAAATGTTTGCAGAAATTTCTAAGAGATTGTAACTCCATCTGACAGGTTCTAATGCTGAGAATCTGTATGACAGCTTACATTAAGGGTTTCCTGTGGACAGTAAGTGATAACATTTAAGCAGACTTTCTTTGGTAGTTCATGACTTAGATTTTTTTATAAATATAGTTCTTTAAAGATGAGCATCTAAGCTTAAAAATTTTTAAACAGTACTTCATTATTTTAGTTTACTTATCTCAGATTTTGTGCAGTCATTTCTGCTGTCAGGTTTTTTAGAATTTTTCTTTTAATAGAAAGGATATTCCTTTATCCTTCTTGTTATATCTAAAGAAGGGGGGAATGTAATAATGAAATTCCTTGTCCTAGAGGGACCTAGAGAGGCAGGATATGCTAATAAAATTTCAGATGCTAGCGCAGTTTTACAGTAGAATCAGTCTTTTTTTTTAGACTAATAAAATCAGTTGAGTGTCATGTTCACTATGAAAAACATCTTAATGACTTAAATGTACAGAAATGAAAATTAGCAAACAATTATTTTAGGGATGTTTTGAAATTCTACTTCATTTTTTGAAATGCTTGTGCCATATGCAATTGCATTTCTTATTGCCAAGAACTAATAGAACTTCTTGTTTCCTTTTCCTACCTTTTTTAAAAATGTGAATTTAATTATTATAATTCATTCCTATGGCCTTACAGATGGGTTTTATTTTGTTTGCAGCTGACACTGCAGTTCCTTTAATGCAAAATACTATATACTATTTGACTAAAATCATGCTCCTCATGGGAAATACATAGTTTTTCCATAGAATTATCCTACTGTGTATGTTTCAGCATATTTTATTTTTGCTCCAATGGCTTAATGTGAAAAGCTCCTGCAGATAACGTGGACCTGTCATGTGATAATTTTGTTTAGCCAATTCATTAACTGTGTACTGATACTGATGCTGTTTTTTTTTAAATGGATTTTATTCCAGGTGAACTTTTTTTACAATAATGTTCGTCTAAAATAAAAACTACATAATGAAAATACTCATGACTGAAGTGGAATGCATGTTTTAAAAATCTTTCTTCGAATTTGGTGGGTGTGTGTGACTCAAACTGTGGTAGACTTGGGATATTTTAGCAAACTATATCTGACTTAGAGTTGTTTAAAAACTTAGAAAAATGGCCAGATATCCTGCTCATCTTTAGTTTAGAATACATTGAGGTTATTCTGTCATGGAACTGCAGTCTCATATTGATCATCCTTCCCTTCTTAGTCCTTGCAAATGTAGTTTCTTTTGTTTTCACTTCCAAGTTACACGGTTCGAGGGCCCCAGCCCTATTGATGTTCTACCACTATTCTTGTGCATGTTTCCAGTCATAGGTTTTCCTGTTCATCCCCATGACCATTTTGAACCTTCAATATTCTTCTCAAGCTTCCTCCTTCTTTCCTTTCACTCTTGGTAGACAGATCTTTCATCTCCTGCCTCACAGAGAAAAGCATCAGTCTAAAACTGCCTTAGCTGCTGCTCCCTCCTCAACCTCCATGGCTGGCTTTACTGCATCTACCTCATCCTTACCTCCTTCCTCTTGTAGCAGAGGCATTCCTCCTAATTCATGCTATCTCTCTGCCTCTTCTCTGGAGTCATCCTCCCGCCTCTGTCCTACTTCTTGGGGAACTCACAGCTCTTTCTCTTCTACTTTCAAACTCTTATCCTATGTGATCCTTTGCCCCTTAGTATGTAAGTATATATAATTAACCCTTCCACCCATTTGCCTCATGTCCCTTTCATCTATTGTTTTTTTCCTGTTCTTGTCATAGCTAGACAAGCTTCTTTAAAGAGTTGCCTATAAATAGTCTTCACTTTTTCATTTTCGATTTATTCTCAACCTGTTTGACTTCCTTTCTATCATTTTACTGACATCATGTTTACAATGGCCTACTTGCTAAAGTAGACAGTTTTCTGTCCTTTTCTGGCAGCATTTGATCAGTATATATCTCTCCCTCCCAGAAATGGCTCTCTTCCCTTAGCTTCTGTGACAGTATTCCCCACTTTTCCAAAAATGATTTCATCCTTTTTTATGGCTCTTAAATGCTCTTAACTTATGTAGTAGGCTGAATAACAGCCCCCAAGGACGTCTATGTTCTAACCCCCCAAACCTGTGATTAGTACTTTATGTAGCTAAAGGTACCTTGCAGACGTGATCAAGCTAAGGATCTTGAGTTGGGAGATTATCCTGGATTATCCAGGAGGGTCCTATGTATTCCCAAGGGTCTTTATGACAAGGGCATAGGAGGAGTCAGAATTAAAAGGAAATGACATGATGATGGAAACAGGGAGAAAAGGTGAGATGCAGGGTGGTGAGCCAAGGAATGTAGGTAGTTTCTAGGATCTAGAAAAGGTAAGGGAAGAGATTTTCCCCTAAAGCCTCCAGCAGGAACCAGTCCTGCTCTGACACCTGATCCCTTGATGTTAGCCTGGTGTAAGACTCATTTCATGATTCTGACCTCTAGAAGTCTGAGAGAATAAATTTGTGTTGCTGTAAACCACTAAATTTGTGGTAATTTTTCATAGCAACAACAGAAAACTGATACAGCTTTCAAATTTATCTCTAGCCCCAACCTCTTTCCAGAGGGCCAGACTTCAAAGTCTATCTGCCTACTGGACATCTGCCCTTGGATCTGCTACAGGTACATCAAACAACACATACAAAATTCAAACTCAGCTCTGCATCTTTTTCCCCTCCCCCACAGTATCCACCACCAACCCTCAATCTCAGGAGGAGAAACTTGTTCTCTTTTCCCCAATAGTGTCATCAGCTACCTAGATCCCCAGTCAATCAAGCTTCAAGTCTTATGGGTCCTAACTCCTTAACCTCTTTTATCTATCCACTTAAACATTATTTTGGCATCTGTCTTTGTTTATGCCTCCTCATCTTTTGCCTAGATTTCTGCAGCCTCTCCTACCCAGTCTCCCAGTGTCTTTTTCTGCCTCAATCCAGTTTTCACATGCTGACAGGTTTTTAAAGCTGGAATCCTGTGCCACTGCCAAACTTAATCATTAAGTGGCACCTCATAAATTTGGGGTAAAGCTTAAACTTTAGTCTGGCAAATAAAGTTGTTTGCCATCCCCACACCTTTCTCTCCACCCTTAGATCTTGTTACAGTCTTAACTCATACCCATGTTTTGAACTTTACCAGTAATTGCAGTTTCCCTAACACATGCTTTGTCATTCATTTGCTTATGCTGCTCCTTCTGCTGACTTCCCACCCTTTTTCTGCCTGACTTCTCCTTATCTCTCAAGACTCAGTAAGGGTTTTTCTGGGAAGACTTCAGTCACAACCCATCCCTGGTTTGCCTACTCCTACGTATGCCCGAAGTGTCACTGCACTGAATTTGAATGGTCTATTTATTTTCCTTCCTTACTATTCTCTTTAAGTTCCTACAGGGCAGGGACTGTGTCTTTCATTTGTGTGTCCACAGTACCCAGCAAGGAGCCTGGCACATAGTAGCTGTTTAATAAACGTTGAATCAGCAAACTTCAGCAGTCATCAAAATTAATATGTTGCTGAAGAAAGCTAAGTGTAATTTAGGAGCTGTTTTGTTCTCCATTTATTTCTGAAGTACAGTCATCAATTAGTAAGTACAGCAATAAAAAGAGAAGCTCCATTCTCTGGTTTTTATTCCAGTCCTTACCTTACACTACTTTAGTCTTTGTTAAATATCTTACTTAAGCTATTTAAATCTTTAGAAATACAGAAAAATTTCCTTTAAATAAGGAAAATAATTTCCTTTAAATCACCCAGAATGCTGTTTATGTATTGATAAGTTGTGTAAACTCTCTCTCCCTCTTTCTTCATGTTTCCTACCTTCCAAAAAGAGCTTTCCAATTTAGTTTTAGGGATATACAAAAGTGCCCCAGAGCAAATAAAGTTAATATTAATTAATTTAAAAATAATTAAATATATAGACTTCCAGTCAAGGTGATGGAGTAGGTAAATGCTTTGTTTGCCTCCTCTTATGACCACATCAAAATTACGACTAAACTACAGAACAACCACCCTTGAGAAGCATCTAAAATCTAACCAAACAATTATAACTAAGGATATAAAGAAGCCATATTGAGTGGTAGGAGAGGTGGGGATATGGAACAGGCTAGTCCCATAGCCATACGTGGCAGTTAAGAATCTGTAGGAATATCTTGGCTTCAGCCATCCCCACTGAAGAGTGAGGGATCTCAGCCCCACACCGGGCTCCCCAGTTCAAATCACCAGTGCCAAGAAAAGGAGTCCCTGCAACAGCTGGCTGTGAAAATCGGCGGGGACTCAGTCCAGGTGAGATGGAGGGCTGTTGTAGATCCAGGTGTCCTCTTAAGGGCACCAAGCACAGACTTGCCTGAATTGAAGGAGAAATAAAAAGCTTCCCAGACAAAAAAAAAAGCTGAAGAAGTTCATCACCAAACCAATATTACAAAAAAAATGTTTATCTTTAAGAAGAATAAATAAATGAATGACTAAGAAAATGTCACAAAGAAAAAGAATTCTAAAAAAAAAAAATGAAAAAATTCTTACAGGCACACACATAAGAAAAGCGATGGATCAACCAACACTAAAGCTAGTACAAAAGTTAAAAGGCAAAAGTAGGAAGATCATGTGTAATTTTAACAGTAAATTAAGGGATACATATAAACACAAAAGAAGTAAAACAATGACAAAAACAAATGTGAAGGGGGTAAGTAAAAATGGTAGTGATTCTAAAAAGTCTTCAAACTTAAGCGACCATCAGCACGAAGTAGACTGCTGTAAACATAGATTGGTTTATATGAAGCACGTGGTAACCACAACCCAAAAATCTACAAGAGATACATGAGAAATAAAGAGAAAGGAATTCAAACACAACACTACAGAAAGTCATCACCATACAAGTTGTGGGTCCCAGGCCTGGCTGGTCCCAGGTCTCGCTGTGATCCAGGCTTGCAACTAGGAATAGGACTTGGGATTTAGAATGTTACATTAGTGTAGTAGGGTGCCTGCGCCTAAAATATGTAAACATAATTCAGCTTATTGTACCATGCATGTGTGGCCGAATGCCACTATTGTACTCTGAAAAGTGTGGAGCCTATGTGGTCCCCTGGAGAGAAGGGGAGCACAAGAAGGGGAGGAGAAGAAGAGCAAAAGAGTGCTCCCCGCAATATAACTGAACTTCCCCCAACAGAAACAATAAAGTTGGTGCCTGCCGTTTGATTTTCATGTGGCCTCTTGTGCATTCTTCCAATTGGGCGTCTCACTACCAGAACCTTCCCTTCTCGATAAGCTCGGCGCTGACACAAGAGAAGAGAGTAAAAGAATAAGAAAGGAACAGAGAACTACAAAACAATAAGAAAATAAAATAGCAATTAACTACATACCTATCAATAATTACTTTAAATATAAATGAATAAAATGCTCCAATCAAAAAATGAATGGATAAAGAAGATGTGGTACATATATACAATGGAAAATTACCTAGCCACAAAAAGGAATGAGATCTTATCATTTGCAACAACATGAGTGGACCTGGAAGGTAGTATGCTAAGTGAAGTCAGTCAGATAGAGAAAGACAAATACCACCTGATTTCACTCATATATGGAATCTAAAAAACAAAATAAATGAACAAACAAAACAACTCACAGAGAACAAACTGATGGTTGGCAGATGGGTGGGGGTTATGGGACTGGGTGAAAAGGTGAAGGAATTAAGAAGTACAAATTAGTAGTTACAAAATAGTCACTGGGATATAAAGTACAGCTTTGAGAATATAGTATCACAATAACTACATATGGTGTCAGGTGGGTGCAAGACTAACAACTATATGCCTGAAACTAATATAATATTGAATGTCAACTGTAATTGAAAAATAAAAAATTAAAAAATATATATTATTTTTAAAATTATATATATGTACATATATAGATCTTTCCTTGATTTTCCCCTCTCCCTCACTCTATATACCTCATCAGTCACAAAATTCTGTTTGCACAATTCCTAAATCTCACTTCAGTTTGTCTGCTTCTCTCCAAGTTCCTGCTATCTCCCTGACTCAGGCCACCAGCATCTCATGCCTGCAATATGCCAAAAATGTCCTATCTGGAATCCCATTTTCCATATCTGTACAAAGGAGATCTGATCATGTCACTCCTCTAAATAAATCCAGGACTTGAGGTAAATGCTAACCTGCTGGCTTTTCCAGTCTTATCTCTAATTCCTCTCTTCACATTGCTGGGATATCCTGACCTACTTTCTGTCTCTCAGAAATGCCCTCCTTTCTTTCACTTTGAAGCCTTTCCATTTGTCCTTCCATTTCTTCCCTATTTCCTAGCTTTGCTGACTTCAAAGCCAAGAACTGAATGGGTGAATTACGGTTACCAAAACCTCACAAGTTTGGATTCTGTATCCTTCCCCCTTCCAGTATTTTCTCATAGCACTCCACTAGACTGACTGTAAGCTCCATGGAGACAGGAGCACGTTTCAGTGGTGTATTCCCAGTGTCTAGTACTGTGCCTGATAACTTAGTAGGCATTCAACAGGCATTTTGAATAAATGAATAAATGGCTGAGTGAATGTAAATCTATCAGCACTACCAGAAAACAAAAGCTCAAGTGAATTCATTAGCATATTTTGAATTACTGGTAGCTATGTCAAAACATTACTTGATAAATTGCTAAAATGTGATATTGCTTTTTGTAGTATCTATTTTAATAATTCAATTACCCCAATTTTGACCAAGATCTATGTGTCCTCGTTAAAAGTGCCTCAGATACCACACCCAGTTCAGAGGAATTCTCACCAGTCTATGTTCCTATCCATACTGCATGTGTGCTTGCCAACTTCCCCCAATCATATTTTAGGGATTTAACTCCCAACATCATTTAGTACCTTATGTTTTTAAGTCTTTGGGGGGAAACTAATACTAAACTCACAAAAACTTAAGGAGTCAACGGCACTGCTACTTATCCTCAAATTTCTCACTGGTATACAATATTATTGAAATCAGTGTAAAAGTGCTTTTTAAACGACACATATAAATGTAAGTTGCTAATTTCCAGAGAAAACTTGAAATAAGTTTTTCTAATAAATTACCATGAATGCTGAAGATGTCTATTGCATTAGTGATTTTGCCAATTTGGTCTAGTTGCTTCCTTCTTTTCTATTCCAACAGACATAAGCTAAAGATGTCTTCACAGATTGCGGGGGAGGGAAGACTCGTTCCATTTTGCATTGCCTTCTCATTTTTTAACTGGACTTATGGAGTAAGATTTAACTGAACTAGGTCAAGAAACCATGAATATAAATGTCCCTGACTTATAGCCCCCTGACTTCCCAAAACATTAGGGTAAGTGAATTATTAAAATAGGGATAAAAGAATAAATCATATTCTGAAGTCATGGCAGTAATTATAATTTTTTAAAAAGCAATAGTTGCTATTATTGACTATTAAGTTTAGTTCCAAGCTCTCTGGGAGTCAAGGTAAAGCCTGCTTATGATGAGTTAGCTCTCAAACTGTGCATATGCATTTTGTCAGGAAAAACAAATTTTTTCTAGTCCTGAACTCAAATAGTAAAGCATGGATCTTTTAGAGATATTGAACAATGATAATGAAAGTTTTATAGATATAGGCAACAAAAATGTAGATGGCCACTTCTTGTCTAAAAATCTTAATTTATGCCAAGGACATGAGTATATTATGCTGGAGCTAAAATAATGGAATTGCATTAGATAACTTCGATTCAGGATAAAACCAAAAGAATCTACCTAATGATGAGTCACTCTATCACTTTGAACTGTTGTCTCAACCTGAGTTACCACAGGTGCTGGATGTTTCAAAACGAAGAAGTATTCTCTGGAGTAAATGGAAAATATATATGTCTGTTTTATATGGGCAAAGGTGACGTTTTACCATAAGAATTAAATACCTATAGTTGTATTATTTGAAGGCTCATTTTCAGAGGTGAGCCACGAAACATCTTCATTTAGGTCCCAACTTTTTCTACTGCTGTTTGTCTTTTCATTGTTTATTTCCAAGAGCTTTATTCATGATAGACATTAAAGAAAGAGTAAGAATGACTAACACTTATACAGCATTTTACTGTGCAGGCACAATTCTCAAAATAATCCATGAGGTGTTATTATTATTCCATTAAACATGAAGAAAAATCTTAGATGCGAATGATAAGGGAAATTAACCTTCTGGTTTTATTTTTTAAATCTCTCAAAAAATGTGAGCTAATACATAACAGCATATAAATTACACTTTTTAAATTATTTCATTCATTAAACAGATTTTTAATGAGCATTTTCTAGGTGCTGAAGAAACAACAAAGAACAAAACAAAGCTCCTGCCTTCCAAAAGTTATTTTTAATGGGGGAGACAAACGAAGAAGTAAAAACAGAGCAGGGAGATGTGACCATTATTACAGAGTGATTAGAAAATGCCTTCAGAAACAACTTTTTTGAAGACTTGAGTGTGTGTTGGAAAACAAATAAAACTAGCTTGTCAAAACAACTCTAAGAAGGAGAGCTTGGTCCACCACCATTTTATCCTTTTGCTGTCTGCGAGTTATTGTCTGGGTCACCGCTCTCCCAGCTTGGGTTTTATATACGATGGAGCACAAAGTTCCCGCAACTATGCAAATGAAAAAATTGGCTTTAAAAAAAGACTTCTTCCTTTAGAAATGGAATCTTGTCTCTGTCCTGCCCTGCTTCTCTCGAGTTGATGTGGAATCCTCAGTTCTGGCTCTATAGGGAACTGGGGATCTCCCCACTCCTTTTAGCCACATCGCAGCCCGCACCAGTGGCCTGATCAATGTGTATGTGTGGTGAGAGGAAGGGGAGCACTACGCTTCTGGCCCTAAAATCGCCAGCTGACGCCACCTCTGGATCAGGAACTACAGCTCCGCCCAGGGTTGCCCCGAATCCAGGTGGAACTGAGGGCCCGCCGGGGAGCCCCGCCATGGCCCCGCCCCGCC